CTCAGTTTGTTAATGTAGCATGATGTTGTGGTTAAGATAAAGATAGGCATCTGTGGGGTTGCAGTGTTCTTTGCACACCTGTGCCCTCTAATGGTAAGCATGTCACAGACGCCTCATTGTTGCTGTCCATGGTATTGTCCAGCCTTTTAGTCATGTTAATGTCAACAACACTTATTAGGAATTATAAAACAAATGTCATACTTTATATAAAGAACAAACTCAAACTGCGAGTACCAACCTGTAGCGCAAACGTAAATACCACTTAGAGGCCTTAACGTGTCTTTGAGTCAAGAAAAGAAGGAAAAATTAAAAGAAATTGAAGTGTCACAGGACATTAAGAAGCCTGAGTTAACGCACTAATATTCTGCATTCAATTCATTTGTGACATGCGCTGTTCTGACGTTTTGATGGACTGATTCTAGGTTCCATTATGATTCTGTCACGTCCTTCAGCACCCATTTGAAATTCTTGTGATTCCTGCATGGGCAAATTAGCGCTTTACAAAGGCTCTCTGACAGGAGAGAGAGTGCAGAGAGGGATGTTTGATTCTAAGATGTGTAAATGTGTCTCTGATTCTCATCTTAACGCTCGGTTAGATAACAAGCCACTGCATACGCTCCTGTCTCAGAGCCGCACAGCCAGAGGACCAGCTGCTTTTAATCAGTAATTACTGAGACTGGCTGATAGTTTCACACTAGAAATAATGATTAATATAAGGCCTCATATAGAGAGAGCTTCTTTTATGCACAATGACAGGTTCTCAGCGTAAATTCTTTCGGAAATTGTGTCAAATGTAAGAAATGAACAGGGAAGGGTCAGAATGGGCAGTAGCAATGTATCAAAAACTGAATTAAACAAATTAAACATTTTGACTTTGCCACATGCTACTGATTATTCAAATCTTTCTCTTTGATGAAAAAAAAAGGTTTTCTATGGATAACAAATTTGTTATAGATTTTACATGTTGTATAAAAATAACTTTTTTTATTTAAAATTAGTTCTCTGTGTTTGCCACCTATTTAATTACTAAAAGCACTCAATTAAAACAACAGATAGATTTATTTTTTTTATAATGCACACTGGAAATTATATTTCATTGAATTAAAAATTCCACGCAGGCCTAAAAAGGTAAACACACACTATATTTTACTAACAAACACTGATTCAATTGAGATTTGAGGTTTTAGTATTTGTTTAAAGTAAAAATTCATAAAAACTAGTGCTGTCAAATCGATTAATCGCATTTAACAAATGTTTTTGTTTACATAATATATGTATATAGTATATCTATGTATGTGTGTATACTGTATATACACATTTATACACACACATATAATATATATATATATATATATATATATATATATATATTGTGTAAACAAAAACTTTTATGTTAGATGCGATTAATCACGATGATTAAGCACTGCTGTTGTTTCTGTTATGTGAACATACTGGAAATCTCAAAAATCTATGAAAAGTAGAAATAGTGAGCTGTTATCTTCAGACATAACACTAAACACTTGTTTCACTCACAAAATATTCACATTTAATTATATATAAATTATATAAAAAAACAGCATAAGTAGTCATTCCAAAATATTTCGAGTGAATGTTTTCTAATCTTTGTAAGTCACTGTATGTGCTCTGGTCTCAAGCTCTCAAGGCGTCTGTTGAACTGTTGCACCAGTGAATGCCCGTGTTTCAGCACTGTAGAATTCAGCTCAGGGGGTCCTACAAAAGACATACTGTAAAACAGGCACCCGCCATATGACAGCCATGACATGAACAATAAATATGGATTTCTCGTCGGCACTAGCATGGAATGAAAGATTAAATGCAAAGAAGCCCTTTTAATCCAGTGCCAGGTTCCCTTTCTGTCCCTGCTGAAATACACAGGAAATAAACACTGCTGTCTGGCACTGTTCATGGCTCTGCCTCTGTCTAGCACTCTAAATGCAACACACACAGGAGGAATGTATAGGCTATCTATCTGTCTATCCTGACATTCATTCATCCACGCAGATATTTTCTCTCTGAGACATGATGACATGTAAAAAAAAAAACGAAATGGAGAATTGTGCACTTGAGGCGATCAGGAGGCTCTGACAGCCTGTCTCACTCCGAGGTTTGTTTTTGCTAAAATGTGGTTATATTACAAAGTCCCCTTTGATTTGCTGCATTACGATAGATTTTACAGATCAAGGCTTTGAAATATATGTTGTGCCGTGAAGATGCCGGTGTACGGACCCTCTATTGTACAGGCCTGTCTAGGCCTGTCTGCAGAGCCACCATTTACTCTCTGTGATTGATGTCAGCTATTCAGCATCTAAGTGGTGGCTTCACACCTCTTTCGCGGCTTTTAATTTCAAATGGCCATCTCATTTTTTTTCAATCCTTTTTACTACCTCCTTTCAGTGCCTCTTGAAAGTTGAGATACATGTACAAAAAGAGGAAATAATAATGCTATAGTTGCCTTTTTGAATTACAGAGAGCAGAGCTGAAAATGCAAGTATCCTTTCATTCAGTCATAATAGGCTAAAGTGTTTACATAAGGGCTAATCAATGTGTCAAAATCAAGTTAAATGGTGGTGTAATGTATTTTTTAGTATTACAAATAAAGTAAAACCGCTCACATATATTGTGTGTGAATTTGTAAACACACACATATACCAAATTGACTTTGGTTGAGATAGGGTAGGTATATATATATATTAGAACCGCAAAGTCAATTTCAGCGAAGAGTTAAATAATTTCCGCATAGTTAAGCACCTTGTTCCCGTTTTTAATCATGCGATAAACATGCAATTATTACAACAAAAGGCACCCATTGAAAAGTAATTGCCGCTCGTATAAGGCAAACTTCCACGCGTAAATGGCCTTTTGCATTTATTCCTGTGATAACTTGTGACCATTGTTTGGCCGATATTTTAATAGACCCTCATTGTTTCATTTGCGTGTCTTACGTTTTAAACAGTCTAATGCGGTGGGTTTCAGCCTTTTTGACTCCCAGGTCCCCATTACAATATTCAAAGCCTTATTCATGTGGACTTATTCATCTGCTTGTACAAACGTTTTTATAGGCTATAGGCTACGGAAAAACAGTCAGTAGACTAATTCCGTGATTTCTTTAAAAAAAACTATATTAAATACTAACTAAAAGGGGACAAATGAGGTGAGAGTTAAATGAGAAATGTCAGTTTGAATGTTGCACATCTTGATTTTGGTGTTTCGCTTACATAATTAAATAGGCTAATAGTAGGCTAAATTAAAATTGTAATAGGCTAATATAATACTAAATAATGATGTCAAAAGTTAGTGTGCTGAGTCCCCCCTGACTAACCACTGATTAACGTGTGGCAGGTTCATGAGAGAGTTTTTTTTTTCCCCCCGCATCTAGCGACATTTTGTTATGCAGTTATTATGCCTGTGCATAATTAGTAGATTTGTGTGATTCCGTAAATTTAAATCAATTTTATACTCGGTGAATACAGTCCATAAACACTATATGAATGTGTTATTCATAGTTTAGATTTAGTTTAGGCTAATCAACCGTGCCATGCCCACGGATACGCTTCCTGGATCTCCTCTGGTTTCCCAATAAACATTTAGACATTAGGCTACAATTGCGCGATATTGGAGACAAATTGAATAGCCAATGTAAGCAAGCAGCATCTTCCCTCATGCAAATTCCATTTGATCAAGCAATGTAATTGCAATAAGTATGTTTTAGAGCTGGAGAATAGAGCCGCTAATGGTCGTTATCTTATCACAGCGAGGGTCATATGTTCATTGAGCGCGTGCTTATTGGAGGTGTTATAAGTTAACACGCGCGATTTCCTCCCTACCGGGAATCCGCTCGTGATGGAGTAAACACGCTAATCTGCTCAGCATTATCTCCCGTGGACAGAGCGCGACAGTCGTGTCAGACCGAGCCTTCTGCAAATAACATGTACTATTAAGCAATTTAAGATATAGTCCTTGGTAATGCAGCGGAATCCGTGGACATCAGTTCAGGGGTAACAAAGAGAAATAAATAAAAAGATTGGTATACGAAGCGGGAGTGCTATAACGTTTTTTTTTTTCAACGTAACTCAGTGATTTTGTTTCAAAACTTTGATATAAAAGCCTACTGTTATAAGCTATACCTGCTACAAATGTAGACTCGTTTTGAAACGGTTTCCCTAAACTGTGTAAAGTGATGTCAAGTAGCTAGGCTATACAGATTTAGCACCTATTTAAAACATAGGCTACATGTAATTTGATAATGTGTATTTTATTGTGGTAAACAAATAGATTATTTTATGCCATAATATTGTATTTTTTATTTAAACAGGAAACATTAAATTGTAAACGAGAAATTGCCTATAGGCTACATAAAACCGAAAGTCTCACAGTTCTGTCAGATATAGCTATTTTGTGCATTTTCAGGTCCATTATAGAAAGTAATGTTACAAGCCACGTCTGCTCTTTCATTTATTTTTATATTTTTTCATAGATGAAAAGCTTGGGTGGATGTTACCAGAACCTGCTGATTCATATGATTTCTGCCATAGCCTAACATCGCAAATCAATTAATAAAACATGAAATTATAGCTACTCTCTTATGTCAAAATAATCCTGCAAATCATTTATATTTTATAGCTACTTAAACATCTTCTGTCCACCTCTGTTAAAACACTTGCCGGTTTTAGAAATTGAAAAATAAATTATTTGAAAGGAGTGTCTGTTGATATGAGAGCGAGATGTTATACATTTTAAAAAAAAATCTAGTCTAAATAAAAAAATAATCTCACCTGCATAGGACTCAGAATCTGTGTTTGCTGAAGTGAAGTCCCTTCTTCTCATCAACACAGGAACAAACAGATGCATTTTACGCATAAAGAACTTTACAGCTATATTGTATTTTTTTTTTTTTAATTTAAAAGGAGGAAATACAACTAGACAACAATTTACAACTTTAAGTACAAGTGTTGACAGAATCCATCTGACTGTCTCTTTAAAAATGCTGACTGGAACTAAATTATTTGTTTCAAAAGTCAGCAAATAACTTTAATCGAATTAATTCTCAATACACAGATCGGTGGTTTTCACGCCATTGTGTGCTAACCTTAAACCCAGCCAATCTCTTATTGGAGAAGTCATTCACAAATCCTTCAATGACGTCAGCGGGGTATAAAACTGAGCAGGAGGTTGAGCTCAGCCACAAACGAGTCACTGAATCTCTTGCGCTTGGTCACTCTTTCCAAAGGGAAAAAACTCGAAGAATTCGCTCTTTTTGCTACTATGAGGAAAACCTGTGATTTTTAAAAGGACTACGAGAACATTTTAGTACGGTTGGCACCAAGTCTCAAACAACTTTTCGCTTGTGATGCCCGCTGGGATGTTTAGTATCGACAGCATCTTGGCAGGGAGACCCAGCTGCAAGGACTCGGTTCTGCTCCATCGGAATGCTCCGGTTGTGTTCTCCAACTTGACGGAATCCTTGTACACAGCAGCTGGCGAATTTAATGGACTGTATTCACACACAGGACCCCCAGCTCCTAACTTACAATCGATAAATGGAACCAGGATAGGCTACAACAACTACTACTATGGACAACTTCATGTCCAGGGGCCGACTGGGCCAGCTTGCTGCGGCGCAATACCAACCCTTGGCTCGCAACAGTGCCCGTGTATTCCCACAGGTAGGCTGTGTTACTTTTATTGCTTTCTATCGGTTTGTAGCATATATGTATTTTTATATAGCCTATATATTTATTTCAGTGCATCAGAATTCTCTTAATAAAATGCATGGTGGATTTTGCCTCTCTTCATTTTTGCAGCACATTTTAAATAAATGGCTGCTATTACAGCCAAGTTAAGTTTTAGCCTATAGTCCGGTGTGATTTGTTCTTTTTTTATTACAAAAGCATCAAACCAACACGAACCTAATTGTAACATCAAACACTTTTAGTCTAAAAAAGGAACGCAGAAAATTATATTTCTTGATCAGAAGGACTTTTTTTGTTGTTGTTGTTGCAGAACTTAGCCATTTGTTTACGTTTTACACAAGTCCGAGGACTTTGAAATTGTGTATTTATGCTTTTTAATCCAAAAAAAAATAAATTTTTATCTTATTTTCAGGTTACGATAGCGCCGGTTCAGTGCTTATTTCTCCAGTCCCACATCAGATGATGTCGTACATGAACGTGGGCACCTTGTCCAGAACCGAGCTACAGCTACTCAACCAGTTACACTGTCGGCGCAAGAGAAGACACCGAACCATATTCACCGACGAGCAGCTCGAGGCACTGGAGAACCTTTTTCAAGAAACCAAATACCCTGATGTTGGCACACGAGAGCAACTGGCACGAAAAGTGCACCTACGTGAAGAGAAAGTAGAGGTGAGTGACATGTATTATTTTTTTATTATTTTAAATAGTTAACATTTAAAATGAAAGTTAACGTTGGTTTGCAGTCTAATATAGGCTACAATATGGCCGAGGTTCTAACACTGTTAAAAAATGTTCATGATTTATCACTTTTTTTTTTTTTTTTTTTTTGTCAAACAATCTTAGAAAATGTGGTTCAGATTATGTAGTTGGCCTATTATGAGTTTCTGTTGAACGAAACAATCTCATTCATTGTATCAATTCAAATTTAAATGTCAAAACTAAAAAAATTAAGCTAAACCAACAATATTTTGTCACAGTGTTTTTACTGACAAGAGAGTGTGTATAACCTATTTAATGTAGAATTATTTTGTGGAGCTGCCTGTAATTTTATATCAGGTTGGCTATTGCTATCACAAGTATAGCCTAAGATCTAACAGCCGACATTCTACAGCATTCCATAAAAAGGCCTTACAATATAGGCCTAGTTAATTCAAATAGGATTTTAGGAAGACAAATACACAAAACACATCAAACCACTAAAATGATATTCAATTTCGTTCTTTCTTTCTTTTTAAAAAGTTTTTTAAAAAGTAGACTAATAGGCTACGTAGGAGAAATCAGTGAAATTGTGACAAGTTCTAGGCCTATAAATATATAAAACATAAATAACTCAAACTTTTTTAGGAACCACAAAAGTTACATTTGAGTTTAGTCAGAATGCGCTTAGAAGAAGTGCTCGCGTTTCAACCACTGTCATTTATCGCTTTATAGATGAACATGTCACAAAACCGTTTAGTGTTTTGTATATAACTGAAGAAAGATTATTTATTCTAGTTCGCGGTGACATGGGCGCAAAAGTCTATTTGGGTTTTTTATCAATGAAAAGTACTGGCATTTCTCGACCCCCTGCAAGTCAGTGAATAATTCGCACACTGCATAAACAAACTCGAGATTTTAAATGACATCTGTATATTTTTTTATAGCTATATATATATATATATATATAACTATATTTTTGAAATTAAGCATTTTACCCATTTTCTTCGCTTAGGTTTGGTTCAAAAACAGACGAGCAAAATGGAGAAGACAGAAAAGGTCTTCATCAGAGGAATCAGAAAACTCACAGAAATGGAACAAATCCACGAAAACAACCACGGAGAAAATCGAGGAAGGCAAAAGTGACGTGGATTCTGACAGCTGATAAATAGAATATCAAACCGGGAAATCTTGCACAAAATACGATTCGGACTTTATGTACATATTGAAAAGTAGGCTACCATGTGAGTAGGAGTAAAATGTGTTGTCATGCTGTTGCACAGATGTATAGTAAATGTTACCTTTAACAATGATATTGTTATTTATATTAATTTAAATTTACACAGACAAAATAACGTGGATTGTGGCCATATATATTGCCTACCTGATATACTGAAATCGTTTTTGAATTCTTGTCGTAGATACCAAAATAAAATGTTCTTGAATAGGCTGTAACTGTACTAGCCTACTATGGCAGGACGATCAAGTTTGAAATGGATTAAATCAGCGTTTAACCGCCTGAAAACAACAACAACAAAAAAAAAGAACATAAGCAACTATTAAAGTAATATCTAAAAAAGAAGTTTGACTTTTCTCATTTATTTAAAATGTTGCAAATATTCTCAAGCATTTCAATTCACCGAGTCCTCTTAGGATTTGCTGATTATCAGCATTTGTTAAACGAGGGGTTTTCTAATTTAGATCTTTATGCTATAATAACATTTTCATAAAGTGTAGGCTCGAGAGACCTTATTCTAGCCTATTATCTCACTGTAATTTATGCCTGGGTAATGAAAATATATTTGAGCACACTGGTTGTGAACAAGCTTATTAGATATTAGAACTTGACATGAAAATGTCACAGGATGTCTCATTTTTATCTCTTTTAATAAGTCCAAAAGTCAAATAAAGAGCCGATAAACGGCCTAAATGGATTGTCATATATCTCCTAGCTCGCTGATGACCTAATAATCATCAGATGAATGACATGAAGTATTGAATGGTGTAAAAAGCACGAAAACCACCTGTTCTTTTTATTAACCAGTTTGCCGGAATGTAGGCTATTCAAACAGCAAAGCAAACAAAACTACATATCGAACTGTTTAATGATGATGATTATTATTATTATTCATTTTACGCGAATTTCCCTCTGCTACATATTATAATAGGCCTAAATATAGCCTAAGCTGTGCCGAAAAAAAAATCAAACGGTGAAAAGAACATTCCACGTATTCTATCGCCTCTAGTGTTTTGACGCTGCCATGCGTTTATTCAATGTTTTGATGTCACTTTATGCTCACACTGCACTCAATAGGCCTAGATATATTTTCTTCTTATAGTAACTTGAACACATCGAAGTCAATTGAAGTCACCATTTTAACCCGGAATTAGAACTGTGGCAGTGTGATAATGGTGTTGTGTTTCTTAAACAAGCTCATAAAATGTCTGGCTATGCCTGAACAGATTATTATTCTTTTTTACATTTTAGCACATGAAAGATTTTTACATAAGGTTTATTAAACGTCTCTCACACTGTCCAATGACACTTGACATTGTAAATTCCTGGTAACTTTTATAATAACAATAATTAAACCCTAACATTATATTATTTTGACACTATTAAAATGAATTAGCCTTCCCCTAAAACAAGCTAACAATTTCCATGAAATAGTCCAAATACAGTACATTAACCCTACAGATATTTCAGTTTCTGTGTTATCTCCTGCTAATGGACCATAACATCTATCCACACAAGGGTGTGCAAGAAAAATTATATGGAAACTGCAAATACAGATGTGCGTGTTTGCCTGTCTGTGTAAGGAATGGACAGGGATACTGCCTACATATTTAAAAGAATAATTACAGCTTAGTCTGTTTTGAAGGTATATAAGCTAATTAAATATGATTTGTGACGCTGGCAACATGCCAGTCTTGCCTGTAAGAGCACTCTTTTTGAATTACATTGACAATTTTCTCCTGATGAAACGCAGATCTCGAGTCTTGAAGGGCAACAGTGTGAGCCGAATATTTATTTGTGTTTATGTGCTTATGCATTTGGGCTATTTATCATCAGAAATAAACATCCATACCCAGTCCTTGACTTAGGGAAGCATGTTTTTCCAGACATGAAGCTGATTAAGTGTGATGTTTTTACTAAACACTCCAGCAATCGAAGACATTGGTACTTTCTTAACAATTTGTTATTCCTTCACAGTAAATAGTTAGTTGAGTGATTTTAAATCACAGTCTGCTAATCTGTACCTGCAGTCTCCTTTTTTTTTTTTTTTTTTTTTTAAACAGCACACTATTCTAAAACCACACCGAAAGAATAATACCTTAAACGTCTTCGGTGGCTTTTTAAAAACAGATTAAATGCAGGTACTTAAAGATTTGGCAATAACACAAACCAAGAAACAAAGCGTGTTGCACTAATAATCCTTCACATGTGTGATTTATAAAGTGTTTCTTCACTGAGTGCCAGTGAGATATACAAAGCACAGGACTGAGTCTTTTTTGTTGAAAGCACAGGACTGAGTCCCCCCAGCACTAGCTGTAATTCAGTATTTCAAAAATTTAATACACACTTTGTTTAGTTTTTTTCAAACCATTATTTCTTTGACCTTTTTACACATAGTTCCTGAGACTTGGAAAAACATAGGTGGAGTCCAAGAAAAATTAAGCAGCAAGTCAAGTCCAGAAACAGATAAATCTTTAGCCGTGTGCTTGTTTTCAAAGAAATGCTGCATTTTGCTCCATATTCTCGGTTGTGTACAAGCTGCTTTTTTTCTCTACATCTCGCTTACATAATTAAAATCATAACGCTGGTCTAATAAATGGTGATGCTTTCATTGAGAAAATGGCAGATGTTCTCAATTTCTATTACTGCTAACATGTATTAATTGAATTAGATTGTGTGCTCTGATTTACCTTTTCTTCTGAGAGATGTGGCCACATGATTGACAGCTTTTGGGTGGATTCCCCCATCTAAATATAGTAACGGGTGTTGGCCATCCTCTGTGGTGCGTTTCGAGAAACATATAAAATGGCGCAGGAAGGACTCTGAACGAAAGAAAGACAAATAATACATATTTTTACCACCATAAACATTTTCCTATATCATTACCGTATTTCAGTGGGATGGCATGTGGTTTGGTACTCTGCAAAACCCTAGAATGCCCTACAATGCGACATCATGTTTTTAAAATTATAAGTTCAAGAAACAAGTATACTGTAAAAAGTGTTCAGTTCACATACTTAAAAAATCCTTCAATTAAGTAAATAAACTTAACTTGATAATAAGCATGACGTTTATTTACCAATAATTTTAAGGCAATGGGTTTACTCATTTTTTTTTTTTTGAAAGTTAGGTCAACTAATCGCTTTTTACATTGTTATGTAGTGAGCTTAGCACCTTTATAGGTTTTAGCAATTGTGGCCTTTCATTCTGTGTGTAATTACTAGGCTTGTCACCACATTCATTCCAGCACGCTAGCTACCAACTGCCTTCTGTTAGCGTCCCTCCCACCAAAACCACGGCCGCTGAAAAGCAAGTGGGACCCCAGGTCAGGACCGCCAGCTAGCGGCAAACACATCTCTCCGAAGTAAATCAGGTAATCATATACTAAAGCCAATTTTTCTTTCATTTACAAGGCTCAGATCACATCTTTATGTTCTCTGGGCCCTCAAGGTCCAGCTCTTTAGAGAAGGCATAACCGTTTCCCTCTCAAGCGTCCTGCCAAAGCAAACAAACACGAGCAATATGAATGAGCTGTATCTATGGAGAATGCATGCATGAGTGTGTGTACATTCATAAGGGTGTGGAACAAGTGCTGGGAAATCAGGAAGGGCCCATCTTACGGCACTGCCCTGGCTTCAGTGCTGATTAGCGGTGTGGGCTAGCCTCAGCCCTCCAGTAGGGTTTGCCTCTGGTGTGGGGGTGAGCAGGACACCCGCCTGTGGGTAAGCGGGAGGAGGAGTGCACACTTTTGACCCGCTGTGAAACGCTTGGCCCTGCTTTCAGAACGGCCCCCGGGGAATCGCAGGAACAGGCACAGGGCAAGTTCGCATGCAGCACACCGGGAACACGGCTTATGACACTCTCCAGATAGTTTAAGACCTTTAATGTACTCGCAAGGACGCTCAGATTAGAGCGTGTGTTATTCCGCAACCTTCAGGGCAATTCACTCCCTCAAAAGCATGCCACAAATGACAGGCTGTTGCTGAGACCCAACAGGGAAGTCGTTGTTTTGTGACCTCATAATGCGCCCTTTTCCTTCCACTTGGTGAGAGCTGAAAGTAAATAAAACAATGTGGGGATTAATGGCGGAATGTTTCAAGCGCTTTACTCGTCCGTGGCAGGCGAAATCACAGGCGTTTACGGGAGATAAATCAAAATTATTTGTATCAACAACACAGGCAGCTTGGATTCTGAATGATAGATCATATGAAAATGAAAATCTAAGCTTAGGTTTAAAATGTAATTTTCAGTGATGTGAAAAAAAAATAAAAATAAGGCAAAAGTGAATATGTTCGCGGTATTATATTATTAAAGAGGTATGTCCTATATAGTACAGTATAAACATATTGAAAAGACAATTGATTGAAGAAATGATTTCCTTGCGTTGTTCTTTCCGGACAGAAAATTACATAGCACATATCATTTTACATCTGAAAAGAATGGCATGTTTCAGAGGACAATTCCTGTATATAATAAAACATAAGAATATGCGCCTTGAATACAAGGGATATATAATTTTCTAACTTTAGTTTTCAAGCCGCAAGGAATTTAAACAAGTATATCAAGAGCTGTTTGAAATAACATGAGGAAACATGAATTTAGCAGAAAACCCAAAGGCACAATGATGTACGACACTCTGATAGATGAAGCGCAAACAAAGATTTAAAGCAAAGCATTTTCACAACAAATGAATTATCAATAAATCACAATGACAGATTTACATTACCGTGACAAATGAACTGCTCTGTAAGCGTATGCTAACTTTTTCGGTGCTTTTTCCCAGACACTCTCCTATAATAAAACCAAGAAAAGCAATATGTTATCTATCAAAAGCAATTTATCTTATCTTATGCATGGGGTATTAAACCCAGAAGATTAGTTCCACAAGATCTGCAAAACAAATAAAATGTGTCATTAAAATAATAGCTAATTTTGCAGATCATGTATCACCATTTCAATGAAAGAAAGCATTGATTTAAAGTTCAGTGGGGTACGATTCAAAACATTCAGTCAACACATCTCAAAGGCCTAGCATAATTATGAACACATTTAAACTGGACTTTTCAGATTTAAAATGATTAGGGGTCCCAATCTGCCCTCTAGTGGACACAAAGGATCCAGATACATGGCATATTTAATAATACCAAGTTATAAAATAACTAAAATGAATGTCATGACTTCCAACCAGCTGAATTAGACAATAAAAAGTGCAAACTTTAAATGTGTTCAAAATGATTGCATTAAATTGACATATTGTACAGTTAACACGTCAACTTATGACAACCTTAAATATGAATTCTCTTAAATTTTCCACACACCCCCTTGCGGCTGTCTGGGGGGTTCCCACTTCCCAAGCCCCAGCTCTCAGTCCCCTATAATCAAACTGTGATATGTTAGCTGCACAACAGCAGCTTTACCTAATAAAAAATCATTTGTTTTTTGAAATACAAACTGCCCAGGTATTCTGCGCACCGTAATTATG